TTCCGTGTTGATCAAAAAATTTTTATTAGTGAGTGACACTTGACCCCCTGTAGATCCGCAATGTCCTGCGACTGATAGTCATTTTAGGGTTAGTAATTTACTATGTAAATTATTTTTTAATAGACTTTTCCTAACCATCATCTCATGATTAGACTTGTGTTGAAAATTTAAATTTATGAATCAAAGATTTTTTGGAATAGTAAAATAACAAAATTAATTCAAAGAAGAAAAACTACAATTGTAGAAGTTACTTAATATTAACAATTGGGCAGAAAATGATAAAATAGTTTGGATTTATAAATATTTAATTCTAAACTATGTAAATTATGCATGTGACTTTCTTTTAATATGTATATTAATATTACAACAATTAAAAGCTGTTACAACACATTGGTGATTAAATTTTGATCCAAAATTCTTGGTAATCAAATGTTCACTTTGTCTGGTTTTGTTACAGTATGTCCCGTATAAAGTTTTAGCGATCAGCATTGAAATTCTAAAGACTTCAAAACTTCCAATTTATACATTTTTGTGCAGCTATCCACCAAATTTTAAAAATAGATCCTTCATAATATATTCATACACCTAAAAAATTTTCGGGGGTGGTTATTAATAAATGTGGACGAAAACCTTAATAAAGTTTTTTTTTTTCTATTTTTTGATAATAAGATCGATGATCTCCTGCAATTTTATGCATTTATTATGTTTCTTTCAGGTCTTTTGCCATTTTCCCTAAACTTCAACAATACAACCTCACACAAAGCGATACCCATATGAAAGATTAAATTATTTTACAACCTCTCACTAATTTTCAAGACATTACAGCAAAATTGAAAAGAAAATCTTTCTTTAAAGTATAAATATTATGTCTTTTTTGAATGACATTGCTTTACATAAAGAGATCCCTTCGATATATTAAAAAACATTCATTAGAAAGCTTTAATGGTGTAGTTTTACTTTGGTTTAATAATGAAGCTTCTCTATATTATGAAAATAATGAGCTGTTTTAAAAAAGATTGTTTGTTGTACTAGTCAAATTTTTTTTCAATTTTTGGGACAGGCAAGGGTACCAAAAAAAAAGGTCCCAATTCTATTATTAATATTAATATATTATTGATGTGTTATGTTACTAATTTCTCTTCTTTACATCACAATTTATTTCTCCACCCTTAGATTATAAGAAGGTAAGCTCTATTTGTTAACAAATTACCCTTCCTTTACTTTTTGATGTCTGTTTGATCTAATAACAATGATAATTGTTAGACATCTCCTCCAACGAGCAGAGGATTTGTCCATCCGGTGATAAGGTAATTAAATCATTGTTGTTATTGTTATTGTTGTTGTTGTTTGATGATAGAGGGGATGCAAATTGTGTCTTTTTGGTGACATGTTCAACAGCTACTAACACTTGACACTTTTCTTCATTAGTAGTGTAGGTTGATTTCGCTTCCACTTTAATAAATATCGTAACAAATAGCGGGAACTATCATAATTATATAAAAATAAATAAGTAAGTTGATTGTTAGTTTGTTATTTTTTTTTTTTTTTTTGGTAATAAAGAAATTTTTTGAAAACTTATTATTACTATTCCCCCCCATAGACATTATAATTTTTCGATAAAAAAAAAAATCTACAAATATAAATCGTGAAAAAAAAATCTAATTTACAAACGAGTACCACATCGTTCGATTATAATAATGCCAAAAATATATACTTCGATTATATTATTTCTTAAAATTTTTTTTTTAAAATTCCTGAAATTACTATTCTAATTGTTCTAATGATTTTAAATCATTTTTGATTATTCATTTCGTGAATATTGTTCCAAATTTTTAAATAAAATTAATTTACTTACGCGGGAAAAGAACTCTACTTGGTTTTTATCAAGAACGATTTCGTCGCCCTCCATATGAGAGAAAAATGAATGGCCAGCTCTGATATTTACTAATACTTTATTCAGTCCTGAAAAATCCAGCTCTATAATAACAATAACAATGATATTTAAATATTGAATTTCTTTCATTTATAAAAAATACCCTCCCGCAGAAATTATTTCTCAAAAACCTACCGGCCCTTAATCTCTGATTGATACTTTCTACATTATCTTCCAAGGTATTCCCTAATATTGGAATTGAATCGCCAGCCCGTGAAAAATTTTCTGTTAGCCATGTCTCAATTATCCTAACGATGTCTTTCGAGACAAATGGTAGTTGTGAGTATGATGTGTGTGGAATCTATGAAATATAAAAATGCATATTTGTACAAGTGTGTGTGTTATATATATGTGTATATAATGTGTAAATAATATTATTATTATAAATATTATCATAAATATTACTATTATTATTAATTTCCAAAAATACACTACTTACGGCTAGAGAATTTGCACCATCATAATAAATTGTTTGTAATAAAGCTGATATGACGTTGGGGTTAACAGATTCTTGTATTGCTAGTTCATTGATAAATTTCGTCACCCATGGATTATTTCTAAACTTTTTAACTAATGCTGAAGGTGATTCACCTAAAGACTCGTGAGTAACAGCATTTTCTCCGTCACGATTCTCTTGCAAATGCATTTCTTGTTGTTGTTGTTGTTGTTGTTGTTGTTGTTGTTGTTGTTGATATTGTTGTTGTAAATAATGAATTAACTGTATTTGAGAGTCTGGTGAGGGAGGTGGAGATAATATTTGTTGTGTAGGGAAAAATGAATTTTTGTTAGAAGGCATCATCGTAAAATCTACATTTATATATAAACAAATTTTATTATATTAATTAATATGATATAATATGAATATATGATTGTATTATAGTGATTATTTAAAAAAATAAATAAACAAATAAATAAACATTTATTTATTTCATTATCAATTATTATTATTATTATTATTATTATATCCATTTATTATTGCGATTAAGGATAATTTCTAATTCTAAATGAGGAAAAAGAATTTTGTGGGTAGAATTACACAAACACAGTAAAAAATAAAAAATAAACAAAAAAATTTTTTTTGATTTTGGTTGGATGCAGAGTAACTCAAGATAAGATAAATATTAAAAATTGTAAAAAAGATAAGATAAAAATAAATATATAATAATGATGACGATGATTAGTTTTTTTGATAATTATATCTAATTATATTATAACTCACCGTCTAACAAAAATGAAACAACATCCAATATCGATTCAAAATTCTTTGCGCCGCCACCATTACGATGTACTCTAACGTCACATAACAAGCTTAATAGTAATATAGTCCATTTCTCTATTAATTTGTATTCTTTCATTTTTTGACAAGCCTCCTGAGTCGATGTTGCTGCTACACGAGCTGTTAAGATGTGTATAACTAAAACAAATAATTTTATACGTGGCATCAAACTTTTTTCAAATAATAATAATAATATTCTAATCAATATAAACGAATAACTTGTTATTTAAAAATATGATATATATATTTAAATGATAAAACTTCTTACCAGGCTAAAAAATCTTCATCGTTTTTTTCATTTTTAATTGCTGTCACTTGTGTGAGCAAAGAATCACAAAATTTCATTTTTTCATCATCGTCAATC